TCTAAGAACATTTCGTGGTAGGACTATAGGAATGCCGGGACGGTCGGTCCCTGCTCAAGATAGATGCGCTCGCGGGGGCGGCCGTTCACAGTACCAAATGGTCTTTGGGGAAAATCGCAGGGTTGCCCAGGAGTTTCTTTTCCGATGAAGCCTCCGACGAAGTCGGGGTCGGGGAAGTCGCAAGAGGGGGCGCCGATTTGGACTCGCGCGCCAGGGCCTTTCGCCAGGAAGCACGCCGTCCGAGAGGCGGCAAAGGAAGCCGCGGCGGCCCTCGATGCTCGGGGCCGTCTGATCGCTGCCTCCAGGGACAGGCGGCACGTGGACGTTATTTTCGTCCTCCCGGCAGCTGGGTGCACGCATGGCGCCATGGCGCCAAACTCGACCGCCCTGACCTAGGTCGTAGCGGATGACCTGGTCCGGGCGCGGATGTTTTCCAACGAGTGAGCACCGTCTGGGCGCCCATGCGCTCTCGCATGCTCAAACGTAGTCAGGAACAGGTCAGGCGGGCCACCCGGGCACTCAGGAGGAGTTCGGGGGGGCCGAGCTGCTAGATGTCCCTGCCCATAACAGACCACGGCGGGACTTGCAGCAGCCCGCTCGTCGGATAGGAGCGGTCGACGTGGACGTTGAAGGACCTCCCTCCCAGAGGCGCGGGGCGTGGAACCCCCAGAAAGCTCTCGAGAGGCGCAAAGAGGTGTTCTCAAGCCTCGGTCCCAGGGCCTTCAGGACCAGGTTGAACCCTCCGCGCCCCGCGGTTTCGAGCGTTTCATTGACCGCAGGCGAGGGCGGCGCGGGCGCGATCGCCCCCGGGGGAGCGCGCGCGCATAATTGCGAGAGGGCTCGAGGGAGCTCAGAACGCCCGCCAGCGCCAGGCACGCAACGATGCACCCGCGCTTTTGCGTCGCCAGTCGGAGCCTCCAGCCGCCGCCAGACACTTAGGTCCAGGGCGGGCAGGAGCTAACGGGACGGAGGCCTTGGCAGCGCGAGCAGGGTCTCGCAAGCCCGAGTCACGACCGGCGCCTGTGGATCGGGTCTCGCGGTCAGGGCGAGCGGCCGAGGCAGCTGGAGGCAGTTGCCCCCTCAGCCTCGGAGGCCGCCGAGCGGGCCGCGCGGCTGGCGGGTCTCGAAGATGCCCCAATCCACGCGCGCTGAGTTCAACGAGAGAGGACGAGGAGCACGAGCGGTGCAGCCGGCACGGCTGGGGCCCTCTTTTGGGAGCTCAGGCGGAGACAGCTTCGCTGAGGCCAGGCCGACCGCCGCAGGCGAGGCTCCGCCCAGTCGCCGGGGAGCCGAGGGCCCCCTTGAGCAGCTCTCCAGGGCCAAGCGGTGCAATTTTGATTTCCTGGCGCCAAGGAGTGGCAGGCAGTCTTAGATTCAGGGGCGGCCCGAGTTGTTCCGGCCCAGGAAGCCGCCCCGGCTGGCAAACGTTTTCCTGGTCGCGTTCGTGGTCCCAGGATGGTGACGAGTTTAACCTTCAGGAGTGTCTGGGCACCCAGGCCATCGCGAAATCTCGGCGGTTTGTTCAGAAACAACGCGATCCTGATAAAGACGAGTTGCACGTTCATTCTCCTACGCCACATGCGGAAAGCGTCATGCTTAATATTCTGGCTGTATGTTCTTTGGGCTGGGAGCTGGAAGTGGCGGTCGCTGAGAACGCGCTCTGCCGATCTAAGACGCTGGCCCAGCCTCGAGACCAGATCTACCGCGAGCCATGCCAAGGCTTGAAGCTAGCGCCTGGAGAGCTCATCGCGCTCATCGCCCCTGCGCACGGCCGCAATGAGGCGCCGCTGTTAAGGCATCGTACCACCACCGAGTGGCTTGTTCAAGGCGGCTTTAAGAAGTCCCCTCTCGAGCCCTGTCTGCGGGCGAGACGCCCGCCTCGAGGAGAGCCCAGGGCCGCCGTTCCCTCCGAGGTTGACGACCCCATGATTTCGCGTCGCCCTCGGGAGAAGGCGGGCCATCAGTCCAGGCTGCAATCGCGGCTTCACGTCGGTGACCAGAAATCCGGGAAAGTGATTTGGCGGGGAGGCATCCGGAGCAGGCGGGGGGGGGAAGGTTTTCATCGGTAGTTGAGCAGTTGGCCCCCATGAGACTCGCCGAGGAACGACGCGCTGCGCCGGGCGACCCGCTGACGCAGGTCGAGATGAAAGCCTGCCGGCGCATGGCTGCGCAGATGCAGTGGTTAGGAAGAGAGAGCGGGCCCGACGTGGCCGCTGACGCGTCTATGCAGGGCGTTGCTCCCCCATCTCCCACGGTCGCCGATGCTATATTGTGCATTTGCATTGTAAAACATTTGAAGATGCGCCTAGTCAGAAGATCGTTGCGTGGCCCATCGACCCCAGATCTGTGACCTTTATCACGGTGCCCGGCGCGAAAGGGCTTGGATTGGCCCGTAGGACGGAGCCCAAGGGGCGTGGCTCGCGTTCACCGCCGGTGCTGCGATTCGACAGAACGCGAGAGCTCGTGTGTCTCAGCTCCCATGGAGGCCCACCCGTCTGAAGCGCGTTGCCGCGTCGACAGGAGCAGCCGAGACTTGGCGCTTGCCAGCCGCTTTCGGAGAAGCGCAGCGGCTGTCGATAGCCCGGACTGGCACCTATCCCAGTCTCTTCTTCAGTTGTTCCAAGTAAGGACTGCATTTTTCACGAAGGAGCAAGTAATCTGTCAGGGGTGGATGCTGAGTCAAAATCGGACACGCTCTCGAAGAACAGCGCCGGATCCTGGGGCCGACCAGAGATATACAATTGAGCTCGCAGTCGTTAGGGGCAGCTTGACTGCCGTCGGGCCCCAGGTCCGCCAGGTTCCCCACGGCCGCGTGGCGGCCGACTGTCTGACGAAAGCTGACCCCAGCAAAGAGAGCGCCGCGTTGCAGGACTTCTCTAAGCAAATGCACCATGATCTTGGTCGACGAAGACGGTCGTCTCTCAGAGCAAGTTTACGAACTAGATTTGAAGAGCCGGTCCTGGCGCGCGTCGCGCCAGATCCTGTCCTCCGAGGCACTCATCTCCCACCCGGACATCAAGGCCGGATTAAGCTGTGGAGGGGGAGCTAGAGTCCTTGATAGTTCCACGAAAAGTAGTCCCGCTGAGGTCTCCTTCCCCCGCCCCACCTTCCCTGTCGAACTGCCCGTAGCCTTCTAGGCTTAGTGCCCGTGGCCGGCGGGATGCCTGGCCCCTTTTGTTGTATTTTGGGCACTGCTGGATGAAGTTATCTCATTCCCCCGCTCCCCTCCCACTCATGCCCGACGATAGCGCCGACAGTGCAAGTCCGTCAACGATGAGGCGCTGCCATTTGGCCGCGGCGCACGGCAACGCCGCTGCGGCTGAAAGTCCGCAGCCAAACAGGAAGATCTGCTCATCTACTGAGTTGGCACGTGCACGCACTGGCCAGAAGAACGAAGAGCCGGCTGAGCCCATCACATCGAAGACTACGTCACGCACACGTTAGAGCAACAAAAGGCCGTGATTGCGCAACTGCCACTTGCTAGCGAACGTTCATCGAGCTCGGGGTCTGTCGGCAGGCGTGTCTTCCTCAGGCCCAGGTCCTGTTGGACCTTGGTGGAGACGGCGCGGGCGGCTTCGGCAACGCCCTGGCCGGCGCCGGCAGAGGCTGGAGGACGATGGGCGCAGCATCTTCCGAGAGAAGGCGATCGCATCGTGCGGCCGACGGTCTCCAGCGGTGGAGAAGAATAATAACATGTTTTGTAAAACAATAACACACAAAAAACAGAAAACACAAACAAAAACAAACAACACAAAAAACAAAAAGAAGAAAAACAAAAAAAAAAAAAAAAAAAAAAAAAAAAAAAACGCGGCGCCAGCCGCGCACCCGAGTGCGCCGCGCCCCCGGTGCCCCCGGCGAGCGCGGGCCTCCCGCGATGCGCGCGCCAGAGCAGCGCGCGCGTGGGTGCAGTGCTCTTGCCGAGGACGCTGGCGCCCGTGGAGCCTCGCAGGTCCTCTGCGCAGGACGTCGCCCGACCCGACCGGGCCCGCCCGCCCCGACACGGCCTGCGCGTCAGGGTCCTCCCGCCCGACCCGACCCGCCTGTCAGTCCGCCCGCCCGACCTCGCCCGCCCGCCCAATACGCCCGTGGGAACTCCAGGAGGCACCCTGCTTGCAGGACCCGGCCGATGATGCGCCAGGGAGATGTGGATGAAGGTGCTTGCAGCACTTCGCAAGTGCTCAAGCAGGGCATCGCCACTGTACCGGCACCGCGACCACGTAGGCGGAGTCGATGGCGTGTGATTTGCCAGCTTGCATCGTTTCAAACCCAGATCCCCGACGTCATGATTTTTTCATGACGCGACCCCCAGATGTCCGGACCTATTCGCCGGGACTGGTTTTTCATCCTGAGTTGTTTTTTGACGGTCCCGAGGGCCTGTAAGGGCCCCCAGAGGCGGAAAATATAGAAAAACCTTCCGTCGTGATTTTTTCATGACTCGAGGGGGTCTGGGAGAGTCGATGGCGTGTGATCTGCCAGCCTGCATTGTTTCAAACACTGACGCCTGTCAAAACCAGCGCAGGCCAACCGCTCGCAGACCTGCAGCGCACGGCCCGGGAGCCGACCGCTCGCCTGCGCGCGCCGTCGCGCCTGCGCTCACGTGGCCCGCGCGCGCGGCAGCGATGTCCTCTCAGCTGGCCTCCACGCTCACTTGGCACTCGGCCGTCGCAACAAAAAAAAAAAAAAAACTATGTCATGCTCTTCCTTTTCCTTCTCCTCACCCTCTCTTCCTCCTCTCCCTCCTCGTCCCGGCCCCTGTTCCTCCTCCTCCCCCTCCTCCTCCTCCTCCCCCTCCTCCTCCTCCTCCTCCTCCTCCTCCTCCTCCCCCTCCTGCTCCTCCTCCTCCTCCTCCTCCTCCTCCTCCTCCTCTTCATCATCCTCATCATCATCCTCATCCTCATCCTCATCCTCATGTTTTTCCTTCTCCGCATCCGCAGCATCACCTGTCCGCATACTCCCCCCCGTCCTTCCCTCCCCTCGCTCATCCACCCCATCCTCCCAAGGTTTGGTGGGTGTGGGCTTTCCTCTTCGGCTCGATGGGTGCCGCTTTCGGCGTCGTCGCGCTCATGGTATTCGCGAACGAGGGTTTGCTATTTGGCCCGAGCGGCGCCGACCTTTTCACCGCCATCGCGTGCATCCTCATGGGGCTCGGATTCACCGTGCACAGCTTCATCCCGGGCATGTGCGACGGCTGGCGTACAGGAGGGTCAGGAGGAGGCAGATGAGGCGAGGAAGGCGGGAGGCAAGGGTACAGGCCGAGGCACAAGAGCAGGAGGAGGAGGAGGAGGAGGAGGAGGAGGAGGAGGAGGAGGAGGAGGAGGAGAGGAGGCGAGGAGGAGGAGGAGGAGGAGGAGGAGGAGGAGGACGAGGACGAGGACGAGGACGAGGACGAGGAGGACGAGAAGGAGGAGGAGGAGGAGGAGGAGGAGAAGGAGGAGGAGGAGGAGGAGGAGGACGAGGAGGAGGAGGACGGAGGAGGAAGAGGAGGAGGAGGAAGAGGAGGAGGAGGAGGGAGGAGGAGGACGACGACGAGGAGGGGAGGAGGGGGAGGAGCAGGAGAGGAGGAGGAGGAGGAGGAGGAGGGAGGAGGAGGGGAGGATGAGGAGGAGGAGGAGGAGGAGGAGGAGGAGGAGGAGGAGGAGGAGGGGAGGGGAGGAGGAGGAGGAGGAGGAGGAGGAGGAGGAGGAGGAGGAGGAGGAGAGGAGGAGGGAGGAGGAGGAGGAGGAGGAGGAGGAGGAGGGGGAGGAGGAGGAGGAGGGATCACGAAGGCGCCCGTCTCACGTGGACAGCCGTGTCTGCAGCTCGAAGCTCGAGGGCGGACGTTCGAGCGCGTCGTGCTCTTGCAGGCACGCAGGCTGGATGAGCCTCGCGAGGGCTCTCGCGCAGCCTCCGAGGTCCCCCCTTCCCCTGGAGTTAGGTCGGGCATGTCCCCATACAGGCGGATTTGGGACAAACAATACCACCAAAATGGTCAAACATAGACCCGAAATCGTCTCCGGACGATGTTTCGACTATTTTTGAATATGCCTCCTGTCGAGGGACGTGCCCGATTTAACCCTGGAGATCTGCAGCTGCTCCCGCGCGGGGCCAGCCCGCTGGACGTCTCGGAGGGGGGGCCTCGCGTGGTACGGGCATGGTTCTGGAAGTGGGAAAGGGGTCTGGTATAAAAGGGGTGTGATGCTAATTTTATGTAAAGGGGACTCTGGCGATGCTATGTATCGCAGATTGCATCGCCATGTCCACGATTGGCGCCATACCCCTTTCTGCCACACCCCATTCCGACCTCCAGAATGGTGTGCCGCCGCAGGCCCACACGCCCTCGCTGCGTTGAGGGGGGGGGAAACTCGGCGGCCGGCGCCGTCGAGGGTGGAGGATCGAGGCGTGATCGGGCGATTGCAGAGGGTGCAGCGGAAGCCCTCCTCCTCCTCCTCCTCCTCCTCCTCCTCCTCCTCCTCCTCCTCCTCCTCCTCCTCCTCCTCCTCCTCCTCCTCCTCCTCCTCCTCCTCCTCCTCCTCCTCCTCCTCCTCCTCCTCTCGCTCCCCCTGCCCTTGCCCATCCCACGCTCATCCCTACAGTGGAGGCCCATGCCACGAAACACCATGCTTGCCTGCAGGGTGCCCTGGGTTCCTTGGGTTTTGATGGTTCTGCCATGGAGAGCGTGACGTTCCTTCACCAGGGATTGGTTTCTTGTGTAAGGTTTCTTGTGGTCGAGCCCCTCCTGTATGGTTTCGCCGAGGTGTGGTTCGCGATCGGCGCCGTGAGGGCCTGGGGGCTCACAACGCTGGCCTCGTCGGGCCTCCTCGGGTTGCGGCGGAGAGCTCTGTCGTCGAGGTCCCCGCCCGCCCTCCAGGGTGCCCCCAGGGTGCCGGTTGCAGACCACACCCTCTGCAAGACACGTCCCTCCACGGGGTGGGATGTTCCCATACGTTTAAGTCGGGCGTGTCCCTCTACAAGGGGAAAATTCAAAAAATAGTCAGAAAATAGTCTGGGGACGATTTTTGACTGTTTTCAGATTTGGGGGGCATTTTTTGCAGATTTTTTAGTTTTCGCCCAAAATCCCCCTGTAGGGGAACACGCCCGACTCAACCATTCGTGCTCGCGTCGCTCAGAAAAATCGGGGCGGCCAGCTTTCCGCTACTCTCGGCCCCCGGGGGGCCTTCGCCGGGCCCCGGGGCCGTCAAGAGGCGGTGCGGGGTGCAAACCCGGGAGAGGGTCTGGACTTCTGGGGGCGCCGTCCGGGATAAATCAGGACGTCGCGTGTCTGGGGTGAAAAATAGCCCCCAAAAGAGTCTGGGTGCGATTCTTCGACTGGTTTGAGCTATTTTCGCATTTGCTTTGCGCACGTTTCGCTGCTCTTCACAAACTCACCTGTGGGAGGACATGCCCGACCGAAAGCTAAGTGGCAACGACAGGGGCGGGACGCATCGACCCTCCATCGCCCAGGGATCGCCGACCGGGGTCCACTAGCCCCACCCCGCCCAGCAGCGTGCGGACTTGGGCCTGCGAGAGGCCGCAGAGGCCTCCACGACGGCCCAGTAGCGCTCCAGGCGATCGGAGGAGGAGAAGGTACCCATACCGCTACCCATCCCTCGTTTTTGTCCTGTTCGGAGGCCCTCATCGCCGCCGCTAGCATCGCCTCGACATCCTGGCGAGAGCGCGCCCCGGGAGAGGTCCGGGGAGCAGCAGTGTCAGTACCTCTTGGTGTCCCCACAGAGGGCTCCGCGACGGCCCAAGAGCGTTCCAGGGGAGCCCAAGACCTGGAAGCTCCCTGAAGGGCAGCTCGCTGGGGCGACGGAGGAGGGGTCAGTGCTCGTAAGGACAGAGCGAACCTGAGCTTTGAGCCCGCGCGGCCCGGCCAGGCGGGCGGCCCAGACGGGTCTCTTGCAGGGCAGAATTAGGAAGGAGCAAGAGGCGGGGGAGGTGGGTTCTGGTGTCTGCCGAGGGAGACGGGGGGAGGGGCAAGAGGAGGGGGATGAGGACTTTTTGGTGTGTTCGGCCAGGGAGAGGATGAGGGGGAGGAGGAGCATGGATTTTGACTTTGCCTTTTGGGGCCGATGGGCCCTCGTCGCCACGGCTGGACTCGCCACGAGATGTTCCTGGGCAGACGGGGGGTGGGGGTAACGATAGGGGCATCGACCCTCAATCGCCCATTGATCGCCCGTAGGGGTCTGATAGCCCCACCCCGCCCAGGGATATGCGGATTTGCGATCGGGGGCCTATCGCCGATCTACCGGCGTTGCGTCGCCGATTCCAAGTCGATGCTTCCCGCCTGTGCCAGTCCCCTCTATCGTTGCCCCTCATGCCTGCTCCGGCGCGGTGCCCTGTCCGGTCCGCTCGATCGGGCGCCGCTGAGCGCTGCTTGCCCGAAGTGGTCGGTCAAATCCGGGCGAGTGGATCATTTGCAAAGGGGGTCTCAAGCATGTGCACAATAGTTCGTGCACTCGTTCGTGCTGGATCATGTTGGATGCGGGCAGACTTCGCTGCACCGGAACAAAGTCGGGCCGCGGGGTCGGGCGTTCGCCGCACCGACCTTCGTTTCGATCGGTTTCTCTTCGAGGCTCCTCCACGGGCCTCGAAAGGCCTGGGGCAAGGCTCCTCGCACGGCCGCGGGCGACGTCGTGGGAGCATGTGGCCACATTTGCGCGAGGTCGGCCGCTCTACCAGCAGCCTCGTCTGCAAGCTGAGCGCCACTGGCCACAAAGGAGGACTCGGATCCCGCACCCACATGCGAAGAGGGCGACTGGCACCGCGCCTCGTACGAGGCGGAGGAGGACAAAAGGAAGAGGAGGAGAAGGAGAAGGACGACGACATCGTCGACGACGACGAAGGCGGAAGACGGATGCGGAGGAGGAGGAGGAGGAGGAGGCGCTCCAGAGTAAGGCCAAGATGCGTCAGCGATGCTGCAACACACACACACACACACACACACTCCAGTCCCAAGCCCCAGAAGTTCCTGCACGCCATTCGCTGAACTACAAGAAGTGGGCCAGCATCCCATGGGCCTGCCGTTCAGGCGAGAGCCCCACTTTGGAAAGAAACTGCAGTGCATTCTTCTGGCGAGCCATCAATCATCAAACAAAGGTATGATAGCCAGCGTGGAACCCAAGCAGTAGGTCCTTGCAATCGACGCGGTGCACTATATATATATATATATATATATGTGGTGCCATGTATGCGATGCAACCTATGTAATGCAATATACGCGGTACAATCTACGTGTGCAATATGCGATGATGCAACCTACGTGACGCAGTCTATGCGGTGCAATATGTGTGGTGCAATGTATGCGATGCAACTTACGTCATGCAATATGTTCGGTGCAATGTGTGCGATGCGGCGACGGCAACGGGCGGCGACGGGCGGGGATGGCGGCGACGGGCGGCGACGGCGACGGGCGGCGACGGGTTGCACGGGCGGCGATGGGCCGGGATGGCCGCGACGGGCGGCGACGGCAACGAGCGGCGACGGGCGGCACGGCGGCGATTTTACGGCGAGGGTCCCGAGATGGTTAACCGAAGTAAGAACCCCTAATGTTGCAAGCACTGCTTGAGGAATGAAATACAGTTCAACGAGGTACCCGGCCAGATCCCCGGTTTGGAAAAAGTCTTGTGCAAGCGTTGCACATGTTTACACGTTTTGACCATAAAACGCGAGGAAGTCTCAAGCGAGAGCCCCCTTTTGAACAACGGCCGCCAGAGGGAGGGCGTAGGGGGGAGCACGGAGGAAGGAGGATGACAGGATTCCCTTTCCACGCGCTGTGGCACTTCTTCTCCGCCGTGACCGCCAACCGATGTGGCCGTGTCCTAGACACCCTCACGAAGCTGGTCGAGGACCGCACTCGCTTCCGCTCAGCCTTCCTCTTCGGGACAAAACAAGCGGGTGCAGCCTTGAGGGCTCCAGAGGCTGCCAGCTCCCGTGTCCCCTCTCCCCCCGCCTCTTGTCCCACGCTGGTGGCAGAGATTACGGCCCATGGGTGTTGAAAGCTTAGACAGTTCATGTATCCGCTTTGGCGAGCGCCCCACTCACTCACTCACTACACTGGGGGGGGGGGCTCGCTACGGAATATACCCAGAAGGTTGCAGACATTCTGGGGGATTTTTGTCTGATGCGGGCAGCTGTGACATCCGATGTCAACCGAGGGAAGAAACACGGGGATCTCGACCACGATGTTGCGGGATCTTGTCGACGTCGATTTGGGTCATGGTCCGTGTCGGCCGTCGTCCATTCGCGGGGATGGTCCACGAGTTGACATTGACCAAGATCGACGGTGACCCAGATCGACACGACGTTTCCGCATTCAGTCATGGTCCCGTTGTTCTCCCCTTTCAGTCAAGCCTCAAGTGGTGTTGCAACGGCTTCCAGACCTTGGGCTCCGTATCGAAGGGCTTAGTTATCCCATGCATTCCCCGCGTTGTTCTTCCATCCAGTCGCGGGGGCGGCCTGCCGCGTACGGTTCTGTTTCTACCAGGTGGTTGTGCGAGTGCGTGGATCTTCACCCTCCTCCCTCCTTCCCCACTCCTCCCCCTCACCCCCCCCGAATCGCCCTCCCGCCCCTCCCACCCGCCCCTCCCTCCCTCCCTCCCCCCCACCCCCCTCAATACCTGCGTCCCTCCTCCTCCTCCTCCTCCTCCTCCTCCTCCTCCTCCTCCTTCTCCTGCCCCCCCTCCCCCCACCCACCCACCCCTCACCCCCCCATCAACCCACCGTTCCTCCACTCCTTCCCCACCTTGATGCAGCCCTGGTCGAGGACATGGAGGCCGCGCCGCAGAAGAAGAACAAGTCGAAGTCTCTCCTCGTCAGGCCCGTGCAGCGGAGAAGCGGGGTGATTGATAGGACGAGGAGGAGGAGGAGGAGGAGGAGGAGGAGGAGGAGGAGGAGGGGAGAAGGAGGAGGAGGAGGAGGAGGAGGCGGAGAACAGCAAGAGGAGGGGCACGAGGAAAGAACGGGAGGATGGAGGGGGAGGCGAAGGCGGAGGAGGAGGAGGAGGAGGAGGAGGAGGACCAGAGAAAGCCCAAGATGCGTCAACGATGCTGCAGCTCACCCTCCAGTCCCAAGCCCCCTCCTCAGGAGTCCCTACACGCCATTCCCTTCACTACAGGGAGTGGTCCTCTGAAAGGCCAGCATCATGTGGGCCTGCCATTCTAGCGGCAGTCCCGCTTTGAAAAGAAGTTGCATTGCAATATTATGTTGAGCGAGGAGAGGGCGAGGAGGAAGAGGAGGAGAAGGAAGGAGGACAATGAGGACGCGGAGGAGAAGGAAGACCGGCGTAAACCCAAGAACCATCACCGATGTTGAAATACAGCCTCCCTCCAAGATCCTGGTTATTTCCACTGAGGGAATTGTTTGGGGACAACCTCGTGATCGTCTTGAAGCATGCCAGAGCCACATTTTCAGTCAGCGCCACGAGTTAACCTGACTGTTACGTCGTGGCGATCCTGTGCCAGAAAACCATTCCTGGGACTTCAACACCGCGAGCCAACATCACTGTTGCGCCCTGACAACCCAGAACCGTTCCAAAATACAGTTGCTGGTACGTTAACCATGTGGTCGTTTTTTTATCATTGTTTTGCCGATCGGCGCGGGCCCTCGCCCCCCCCCCTCCCCCCCCCATGGAGTGGATCTTGGCTATTTTTTGGCACCTGTTTCGAGCGGGTGAAGCCTTCCCCAGAGGCAGCACTCTCGCAAACAGTCGCATTGAGCAGAGGTCCGGAGCCAGACCCCCCCCTCCCCCCCCTTCTTCCCAATGTCGGAACGCCGAATAAAAGCGCTCACCATGAAAACCAGTGAACATCTTGCAAATGCTTCAAACGAATGCGCGCGGCGCTAATGCGAGGCACCATTTGAAAAGGAACCGCCCTCAATCCGTGAAACCCTTGCAATATGTCTGCGACGAATGTGCGCGGCGTTGAGGCGAGAGCCACACTTTGAAAACGAACCGCCCTCAATCCGTGAAACTCTTGCCATTTGTTCGGACGAATGTGCGCGGCGTTGAGGCGAGAGCCACAATTTGAAAACCACCCGCCCTCAATCCGCGAAGCGCTTGCAATTTTTTACGACGAATTTGCGCGGCGTTGAGGCAAGAGCCACATGATGACAACGACCCGCCCTAAATCCGTTAAACTCTTGCAGGTTTTCACGACGAATGTGCGCGGCGCTGAGGCGAGAGCCATATGTTGAAAACCACCCGCACTCAAGCTGTGAAACTCAAATTCGGACGACGAATGTGCGCGGCGCTAAGGCGAGGGTCACATTTTGAAAAACGACCCGCCCTCAGTTCGTGAGATCTTGCAACTGTTTAAAACGAATGTGCGCGGCGCTGAGGCGAGAGCCACATGATGACAACGACCCGCGCTCCATGTGTGAAACCGTTGTCGGTTTTTAACATCAGGGTCATAAGCGGTGAGGAAGTCTCAGGCGAAACGCCCGGCCCGCCCTTTCGACCGGCCCCGGGGTGCGACAGGGATGATCTATCTTCAAGGAAAAGGGATGGATGAGGAGGAGGAGGAGAGATGGGAGCAGGACGACGGAAGATGAGGAGCAGCAGCGGGAGAAACATGTTTAAGTTCTCATGGCCAGGCTCATGCAGCGCGAGCTGCTTCCGAGCCAGTTCAGTATGTGAGGCGGAGGGGCAAGTCTGTTGCTGGCAGCCCTCCTGCTCCTCGTCTTTACTTTCGTCCTAGTCCCCTCCTCATTCATCTCTCCGCCTCCTTCCCCTGTTGTCTCCGTCCTCCTTCCCCCATCCGTCCTCCATCCTCTCCTTCTTCCTCCGTCCTCTTCCTTGCTCCTCCTACTCCTCCTCTCCTGCCTTTCTTACCCTCTCTCCCTCGTTCGTATCCCCCGTCTCCTTGTCTTCCTCCCCCGCTCGTCTCTCCCTCCCTCCTGCTCCCCCGCTCTTCTCCGTGTCCCCTCGGTGCTCGTACTCGTCATCTGCACGATCATCAGCATCATTATCTTGGCTCCCTCCCCTACGCTTCCCTCATCCCTCGTATCTCTCATCCCCCATCTGCCGCACATCCTCCGATCGTCTGTCCCCCCTCACCCCGCCTCCATCTCCATTCATCGCTCACCCTCAGCATCATCTTTTTCTTCTTCTTCTTCTTCGTCTTCTTCTTCTTCTTTTTCTTCTTCTTCTTCTTCTTATTCTTCTTCTTCTTCATCATCATCATCATCATCAGCAGCAGCAGCATCATCAGCATCAGCATCAGCATCAGCTTCAGCATCATCGTCGTCATCAGCATCACCGTCATATCAGTGTCATCATCAGCATCACCATCACCACCACCACCACCACCATCATCATCATCATCATCATCATCATCATCATCATCATCATCATCATCATTATCCTCATCATCATCATCATCAGCAGCATCATCATCATCACCCTCATCATCATCATCATCATCATCATCATCATCATCATCATCATCATCATCATCATCATGGTCATCATCATCGTCAGCATCATCAGCAGCAGCATCATCATCATAATCGTCGTCATCACTACCATCGTCACCACCAGCATCGTCTTCAACATCACCATCATCATCATCATCATCATCAGCATCAGCATCATCATCATCATCATCATAATCGTCGTCGTCACCATCATCGTCACCATCATAATCGTCATCAACATCGTCATCAGCATCATCAACATCATAATCCCCAGGGCGCCGTGTCTTACTTGAGCGTAGAGCGAAGTCGGTGATCAACAGCATCATTATCATCATCATCATCATCATCATCATCATCATCATCATCATCATCATCATATTCACCGTCGTAATCCTCATCATCATCATCCTTACCATCACCACGATCGTTATCATCATCAGCACCAGCATCATCATCAGCATCATAATCATCGTCGTCGTCATCGTAATCTTCATCCTCATCATCACCACCAGCATCAGCATCAGCATCAGCATCATCGTCGCCATCGTCGTCATCATCATCACCACCATCAGCATCATCATCACCATCACCATCACTTATCATGACCATTACCAGTACCATCCTCATCCGCCGAATCATCAGACCACCAACACCCGCACCACCGTCATCTTCAGCGACGGCTTCGCCACTGCCCGTCGCCACTGCCCGTCGCCACGAGTCGTTTGAGGCTCGGGGCCACTGCGCGCGGTCACCTCGAAATCCCAAGAAACCCCACCGCGCGCTCCGTCGCCGCACGGTCTTGGGACCCGTTTCACTTCCTTCCCCATATTTACATGATCCTTCATTGTTTAAAACACGTGGGGTGATGCTTCTGGTGGTTTCTGAGCACTCTTGGACCATTTGCCCTTTCTCTTCCAACCTTCGCCCGTCGGAGCACGTGCCCGACCGAGCCTCACGCCCGCATCCTGCCGGTCGTCGGCGCGCCAGCCGGGCAGCCGGGCGCGGCAGGCCGCGGGCGGGCCGCGCCCGCGGCGGCGGGCGGTGTGCCGCCACCGAGGGAAGAAGATCCCGATCTCGGTGATGGTGGTAATATTCTGGCTTCAAGGTGACCGAAATATTATCACCAACACCGAAATCTAGGATCATCTTCCCCCTGTGGAGGCAACTCCCTGTGTTGGAGATGGTGCCCATTTCCAAGCCTCTAATTCTTGGCCCGGGATCAGCTCCGGGGGGGCGGGGAGCTTCGCCTCAGAGGGATCGCGTCGCGCCAAAAGTCTGGACGGGAGGTTGGTCACCGTGTTCGGCCCCGCGGGGCCCTCGCCGGGGCGCCTGGACCG